AAATTTCGTAAAATTTTTCATTTAAATTATTGAATTCTAAAAAAAAAAATTTAAATTAAACAAGACGAGGCAGGGCGGGGTGGGACTCGTTACCTGTCCCTGCCCGGGGCAAAATTCCTCTCCCCATTCGGGGTTGGACCCCGCGGCTATCGAGTTTGTCAGATTTTTTTTTTTTGGTGATATGTAATATTTTCAAGTTTGCTAACCTTACGAAAGGTTATTAAAAACCAAATCGTAGTTGAAAGAAAGAAAGGAGCTGAAGTGCAATGAAAGCATAAATTTGGGGAAATGGTATAAATTCATCGAAAAGCATAGGGCTAAAATGCACAATAAATAAATAAATTATATGAAAAAAGTCTACGACGAATAAAATGATTTCTCATCAATAGTTGCATTCCTACTATTACATACGGCGTGCATGAAAATGCACCATGCGTGCAATATAACACGCCACATTACATATACATTGGCCAAAATGGAGGCGAGCAATAGAAACGTGACAAGTGTTGTACGTAACCCGTGGCTAATTCATGTAAATAGATATTTAGTTGTTTAGAAAGTTACATTCAAATACACAGTAGAGATTTCTCCAAAACCTTACATAAATTTCGCATTAAATTTCGTCCATTCAATAAAAATAAAAATAAAAAGACAGAAATCCCTCATCTCTTAAAAGAGGGAACCTTGATTCACTATTCATTTCTGTCACATGAGTTTTTACATGTAACCTTATTGTAATTGGTTTTTCAAGACAAAAATAAAAAGACCAGAAGGCTGTATTCGTTTGTTGTGTGTCATTGAATTAAGTTGTACCATCATGACCTAGTAAATTCAACTTGTAAAATTTGACCAAGTAAAGTCAAATTCAAAACTCTGACCTAGTAATGAGAATCTTCAAGGTAAAATTGTTTTATATTTTCTTTGATGGTTTGACAAATTCTATACATCGGATTCATTGTGACGAGCTCTATTCAATTTATTATTCTTAGTAGAAACTAGATGTATCTTTAAGTTTATTGAGTGAACTAAAGAGAGAGCAATTCAAATTATGTATTTATCATGTATTTTTCTAGCGTGTAAGAATTTAATTGAATAAAAATAGGTCAATAACAACACAAGTACAATTGTACAAAGGTTGATGTGATGATCCTTCATTTAATTTTTGTCAAAATCTCGTTTAATTTGTCATATTTATTTTATGTTTTCTATTTAACAAGTTAATATTCAGCATTATCAATATAGAGCGTGTCCGTTGGCCATTTTCACCAAATTTTGATCAGAAATGTGACCCTTTTTTTCAACCAGTAGGGCCCACATGTGAGATAAACATTCAAGAATTGCGGCTGAATTTAAAAACCAACGGTACAAAAAGTGATTTTTTTTGGTTGACAGAGCTGTACCAGACACAACCATAATATACCTTTAAAGAATAAACAAGAAATCGATGTCCTTAAATTTTAACTCTTGTTTATTTTTCCAAAATATATTTTTCTTTCTATTCTTTTCAACCGACATATTTTTCAATAAAATAATATTATATACAAATTCAAAATTTTTTCTTATTTTTTTAACTGTTATTTTCCGTCAATCTACTATTCCATAATACAGTCTTAACATTTTAATAGAGCTCAAATCAATTAGTTTTTTTTACATAAAATAAGAGAGAGAGAGAGAGAGAAATAAAAATAAAAATAAAAATAAAAACAAAAACAAATATAAATATAAATTAATAATCAGTAGAAAAATAATAATTTATAATCATGACTCTAATATTTGTAAAAGGAAAAAGAAATATTGAAAGAAATAAAAAATACATATTAAATTTTTTTTTTTTTTAATGTGGAAATCTTGTAATGAATGAAAGCCAAATTTTAAGATTTTAATTTAGTACTTTCTGTTTAAAAGTTAGTACTTTACAAACTTTTATAAAAATCTTTAAAAATCATTAATAATTAGAACACACTAAGATTTATAGAAATTTATAAAAAAAATAATAATTGAATACACTGTGATATTTAAAAACTTTTTAAAAGTCTATAAAAGACTCGATTAAATATACCAATATTTTTATAGAGTTTTAAAAAATCAATATTGAATACTCCTAAACTTTTTAAATTCTAAAATTTTTTTAAAAGTCTCGATTGAATAAAATACTTTAAGTTGATAATTATTCTCACTGTAGTGACAATCCTATGATAAAATTTTGAAGTAGAACCGTTGCACAATCATAAAAGCATATTTTTGTCAATAGACCGAGTTACAACTCGTGTGATGTATCGACAAGGAAATTGCATGGACTCATACATCTAGGAATTCCTAATTCAAAATCAAACGATTCTTGTTAAGTCTAAAATTGTAACGGACAAATTCCTAAATCAAAATCATATTTCAGATGAATTGTATTAGGAATTAGTCAAGTTGAAATCAAAGTCAAAATATGTATAGTAAAGTCCAAATTATTGTAAAGAATAAATTGAGGTTGATAGAGTCCAACAAGAATTAAAAGAAATCCAAGAAGAAGATCAAAATTGGACTTGATGAAATTGATGTCAAGAATGATGCTTTTTCGCTAGCCCATTGCTCAACATGTGCTTGAGCGACAAAAGCAGAACCTCTACCGTCTGCCTAACGCTCGAGCGACAGTGCGCTGCTTACCTAGCGCTGGCTAGCACTAGAGCAGCAGGTCAAGGACCTTCAAACTCTTGATTTTGAATTGTTTATCATCTCAAACACTTCATCGTATATATATCCAACACTATGAACGTCCAAATTGTATTGAATCATAATTATTTCATAGAAATCATTCATTTGAAGATCCAAAACACTTTATCGTTTTCAAGATTCAACCGTCATATTATTTGATTCATAGATTCATCCAAACTTAGTGACCAACTTGAAATTTATCTATGAGTTAAATGACTGAGCAACCCACTTTCAGGTCCCCAATATTGGGGCACGCCTGTATCAACTCTAATATCACTGCTACATCTCCTTCTAAACCCGCTTGCTGCATTCCTCGATAGACATCGAACGCCTCTCTTGTCCTCCCACTCTTCACATATCCAGTGAGATCATCATGCTTCAAGAAACACCCCTTTTCTGCATCCTCTCACACACACACATTGCTTCGTCCTTTTTCCCACACTTAGCATACAGGTTCAAAACAGAGGAACCCACAAACTCATAATTCACATATCAAGTCTGAAGAAATAAAAAATGAAAAACAAAATTAAAATTATTATAGCATCGCCGTCTGTGGGAATCGAACCCACGACCACATGGTTAAAAGCCATGCGCTCTACCGGCTGAGCTAAGACGGCTTTGGTTCTAGACTTTGTTTATTATTGTTTTAAAATATTAATTATATCAGAAACCTTTCGACCCTTCAAAATGAGGCTGCCATTTCCAGTTCACGTGGGAAGGATTCAGGGATGGCGGAAATCTCAGAAGCTCCTTCAACTTCAACCTCGGATCCGGACTTCGACCAGGAGACCATGCGAAAATCCAAACCTGGATTGAAACGCCTCACTCTATCCCTCGCTGTTCTCTTCTCTTTTCTCTTAGGTTAATTCTGATACATCTGCGTCGTGTTTTTGTTCTGTTGAAGAGTTGTGTTCAAGTTAATTCATTTTTGTTTAATCTTTATAGGTCTTCCATTCTTGCTGAAATCAATAGAGATTTACAGATCGCCACTCCCATTTCGCGAAATTGATGATTTATCCACCGCCATTGAATCTAGTCCAATTCTCTTTCCTTGCCATTTCAGAGTAGTATTTGTCAATTTTGACCCAAATTCCTATACGGCTGATCAATTATCGATTTCGATTCAAGCCCACGTTGCGAGATTTGCCGCAAAAAATTCCCCGGCTTGCGGAACTTGTGCTAGTAATTTCACTGTCTCCGTAACCCTAGACTCTAACTCCGACTGCATTAGCAATGGGAATAATGTGGATTGGAAATGTGGGGCATTGAATGAATTCAAATTTGCAGAGAAACATGAAGATGGGCTATTGGACGAGTATTTGGCATCTGTGTGTAATAATAATAGTGATGGGAAGGTTTATACCGTGGTAGTGGTGAAATCAGAACAGGAGGAATTGAGGGCAGTGGTGGGGAAGTATCGCCATGCGTGGATTATGGGTAGGATTTTTGAGGAGGAGGCTGTAGAGAAGATAGCGGAAATTTTTGTTAAAGTATTTGTGAATGGTGGGAAAGAGGAAGGATCGATTCGTGGGGAGTTTATGCCGGTAGGGGCGGATGGAAGAATTGTTCTTTCATTCAATTTGTTGAATGCTGATCCGCATAATTGGATATATGATTGGTATGGAACTTCACTTGATGCTTTGTGAACTTACAGTACATTTGTTTGGAATGAAATCTTTGCAATTTCAGATATGTTATGAATGGATGGCATTTCCTTAGGAAATAAATCTAGTAGCTATGATCTCCAGAGATTTTATAATTTTTTGAAAAACAATTCTTTATTTGTTTTGACTATGGTGTTTTAGAATGATTGACATAGTATAAAGAAAGTCAAGCTTCTTGCTAACTTTTATTAAGTTATATCTTAGTTTTGACAAGACATCATTTATGCAGTCATGCATGATTATGTTCATTCCTTTTGATGGAGCTCTCTAAGAATAATTTTTCAAACATGAATTTAATATTTGACCTTGTAGAGGGCCAGTCATAATATTATGATCCACTGAATATTTGCTTCTGTAGATCGTAATCCATCTAAATTACTTAATTCTGCAGGGATTTCCAAGAGATAGATGTGAATCTCTTGTCTCCTATTATCGAGGCACTGAAACCGCTGGCAGATGTTAGTGTGGAGAGTCAGGTCATAAATCCTTTTATTTTTTTTGCAGTATCATATGTTCAAGATACACTTACGAAGTTTCTTCCAATTGTCTGGCTCTTCCTTTGGAGTTCTAGATTACCTCTTGATGCGTAACATTGTTGTCGTTTTCATGTACAGGTTTTATATCACACTCCAAAGTCCTCATTTTCTTTTTGGGATGACAAGCTGGACAGCTATATTTTCAGTACCAAAGATCTTCCTTTCTTTGTATGCTAGTCCTGCAACTTTCTTATACTGGGAATTCTTATTTATTAGGGTAATCAAGACAAGTAAAATTAAATGAAGATGTTCCTAGGATCTATAACTTAGAGATATTTTTTTCCTTAAAGCAATTGTATGCGAGTATACTGATGTAAATATGTATATTAAAATATATTTTTTCGTATATTGATGTCTATGTGTAGGCATATTACATATGCTGATTCAAGAATAATACTGGCTTTTCACTCTTTAATAATAAAAAATACTAGACATTGTGTGAAGTCAATTTTTGTGATTTCTTGTTCAAATACATTGTGTTTTTGTCAATCCCCTGCCCATTTTTACATCTTTCACAAAAGATATTTTATATCAAACAACCCAGAAGATGCAGCTTGAACCTACTTCAGTGTTATTGCAATTATGCTTGTCAATGTGAGATGTAATATGTCCAGTCTTTATTACTTTCCCTGGATGCTATTACATTTTTTTGAATTTAAAGTTAATCTTTGTATACAATTTATATTCTTCAATCAGTAAATCATTGTAGTGTTCTTTGGTGACATATGTTGCAAGCCTTAGTTAGCGTAATTTTTGCCCCAAGGCTCCGGATAGTGCTTTCTCATTCGTTTATGCTTTAATAGGTGAATTCAAATGAGTGGCATTTGGATACTTCAGTTGCAGCAGGCGGGCGATCAAAAATTTTGCAGTTTGTTGTGTATAATCTTTGACACTTTTACTTTTCGTAACGATTATCTCCTGTGAAGATATTATGTAAATATATGTCAAAGCATTAACATATAGTTTTTCCTAATTTTGAAATGCAAAAGTTAGATACAATAGTGCAGCCCCCCAAGAAAACCACAAAAATAAACTAAAAATGGAAGCAGATATATTATGCTTTCAGTTTTTAAGAAGTAAATAAATTATTTTGTAATTATATGAACACTCAATCTGTAATCGACTAATGCATCTTGATCTCACGAATATAATTTGTTCTGTTTCCTCTTTCCATCATAATGCAGGTATGTACCATCTGCAAAAGAGTGCCCTCTTCAGTTGCAGCTTCCAAATGGAGAGATTTCCCCAACAAATGGCTTTATATCTCCAGTGAGTCATATGCTTCCACCTCATAGTTTCTTCTCTTATTTGTTTTGCCTGTCAATATCTTAGCAGTTTTGAATGTCATTTCCCAGATGTGGGGTGGAATTGTCGTTTGGAATCCTTCAGCCTGTTTGACGGATTCAAAAATCAAGCATCCACTGAGACATAAGATTTCTTCTGAGGTCAGTAGCTGTTGTCAATGACTTGAGGAAATAGTTCTTGAACTTGAGTAGAACCTTGTACAGCTTTCATTGGATTTACTTTTAATCTGTGACAACTATAAATTGCCTGACTCTGTGTCATGAGCCCTATTGTTGGAGGAACATGCATGTAGAAATGCTACTGTATTATTAGTCCTAACTTTAGGTTTTTAACTCAAAAATATATTTTACTTACTCTTCATCATTTTCATGCCATAGTTCTCAAGAGCAAGCAGTACAATCACTTCCGTTTATTGTAGTTGGACTAGTTTGTAAATGTTGTCATCTTTTCTGCATTTCTTTTGAGTGTAGTGTCTACATGAAACTCCATGCAGGTTATATATGGCTCCTACTATTTCACTCGAGATTAATACATGTATTTTTCTGAAAACAGGATTCAAGGAAGGTTTTTGAAGTTTTCATGGGGCAGTTGCGGCAACTCTTTGACTTGAAATCTGATGGTCTCTTTGTTGGTGCATCAGGGACATATACACTTTTAGCTAGTGAAAGAGGATTTTCAGAATGGTGAGGCATTACCCTATTCCTAAGGCATGACATAGGAAGGAAAACCATAGCCATAGGGATTCCTGTCGATAGTTCATTATTGTACAACTTCACGAGGGGGAAAATGATTATTGAAATTCATATGCCACAAAAAAGTCACCTACTCTATTTCTAGAAAAGTTTTAGTTTCTGTGATTCCTGGCCCTTATGAACAGATCGCCTTTGGGATAAGTGTAGCGGACTTTGGACACTAAGAAGGCACGTTGGAAAAGTCAACTTTTCTTCATGTTAAATGTAATATGTTATATTGTATTCCTTTTTTGTTTCTTCTATTACTTTCACCATATTATCTGCAATTATCTATTCGTTCTATCATTACCTTGTTTAATTTATTTACCTCAACATTAACATTCACCATCTGCTCGTAAAATCTAACAAAAATGGGAAATGTAAATAATTAGCGAAATGGATGATATAGCATTCAGTTATAATGTTGTTAACATGAACATGTTATATACCTTCTCCATGTTTAAATGTGATCGTTCACTGAAGCCTGGCTGTGATTATGTTGTTAATTTCCATGCTTGAAGGGAATTGGATGTGTTGTCACGGCAGCACTCATGTTTTAATCTTCTTCAATGTGGCACAACTTTAGGATCACTTTCTCGATTGGTATGTGATGAGCTCTTAATTATTTCTTTTGATTTTAGTATGCGTTTTTGGTTATAACTAAATTATCCATTCAGGTTCAATCACTTCCAAGAATGATCATTATGGACGATATAGGAAAACAGGTGAGTATTGCCTATAAAAGTGGTCTGGGACAACCTCTTTATGTTTTCTGGCTCTAATTGTCTTCTTGCAATTTCGTTCTGGGATATGTGATTTTAATGACTGGCATTATTGAGACATTCATTTATAAAATATTAATAAGTTGGGGTCTTGGAGAAGGCTCTATGATTGCCAAATTTTCTTTGGTGTTTATCTTTATTGTACTATTACTTTTTGTTTTCATTCTATTGAGTGTGAGAATGTTGATATGCTATTGCGTGTAACTTCTAATTTTCTCTCTTTTTATGTTGAATCATCTTTCCTTTTCTGTACTGTGCAAGAAAGAGTTACGAATAATCTCATCCTTCTGGATGCCCATATGTTAATTATACTGCAACTTGTTAACCATTGATGTTTATAATTCCAAAAATAAAGAAAATTGTTAATTAACTTCTAATAGTGTTTTCCTTGTATCTTTTTTCGTCTCTAGTTTCAGATTAATTTAAATGGCCCTGTTAAAATCCCGAGTAAAATGATATTCAATCTGGAAGTCATTTTTTCTTTGGACTGCACTTGTTTTAAATACAAAAGTTTTGGTGAGTCGCTGTGGTTTTTATTTTGCTCTAATTTACTTTAGGGAATTCTTTTTCCTAGCATTTCCTTGTCACTTGTCAGTTTGATTTTGTTTATTGTTGTAGAAATCAGTTGAACCTGATTCTTTAATATTATTGTGAAGGTGAAGTATTCTCTTGAAGCTGCAAAATTGACTTTAAGTAATGCATCGCTCGGAATTTATGATGCTTCTGCTGGTATGTTTTATTCAATCTGCAATTTGGATGGATTGTAATTAACATCTTCTTTCAAGTATGCTATTGCTTACTCTACTTCTTCCCAGAGTCCTCAAGACGAGCAAGATTATTGGCAGAGGATGCATTTTATCACCCATCTATGATGTCTGTCAGCTATTACTCATTTGAGCACTGTTTTGCCGTCTACTCGGTTCGTCCTCTTACTCTGAAATTCAATTGTATGGATTATTAGATGAGTTCATTTTGTTTTTCCCGGAGGTGGACATGAGAACAAGCTATGGGTAATAATTAAGAAGTAACATTAAGAATAATACTTGTGCAATACTTGTAAGTATGCTTGGAATTCCATAGAAGACCTTGTTTTGGTACATTAGTATATTAACATACTTTGTTCCTCATAATTAACATATTTATTTAGTAATCCTGTTTCTTTGAGAGTGAAGGTTTAGAGACTTGAGAGCGCTAAACCTAGATGGTCCTCATATCTAGAGCTAGAATCTGGAGGTTTCTAGAGGATTCTTCAACTCAATGCTATTGAGTAAATCTGCTGAAAACCAAAGTTGGAACATATGAAACTCTATGGCTATGTAATAGTGCTATGTAATACAAAAGATTTAAGTTTTGCCCCCTCCATGTTCATGTTAATCTGTACCTTCGTTTATTTCAAGTACTTGGGATATTAGGTTTGTCTAGTTAGTTACATCCAGTATTGTTTCTCTTTCCTGTGGCAAATGAATCAGTTGAGCAATTTGAAATCATGCATTTGGCGATATGTTTTCTTGGTGCAAAATAGATTTAGGGTACATTTGGTACATCGTATTGGATTAGGAGTGATAAAATTAGATACAATTAGGGCAAGTGGATTAACGTAGATCATGCTTTATTGTTCTGATATGGCATTTGGTGCTACATCGTATTAGGAAATCTTACAAGTATAGTAAAATAAAAATTTATTACCATATTTTTATTTATCAGAAATTTTTATTACTTATACGTAAATTTTGTCATTAGTGGTTTTTTACTTATAAGTAATTTATTTGTTTGTAAGCAAGTTTTTTTTACTTGCTAGTGATCTGTTTGCTTATAAGTGATTTTTATTATTGTAATTTTTTTATTCATACGGATATTTTTTTACATATATATGAATTTTTCATTTATAATTAAATATCTTAAATATAAATAATTTTTTACTTATATGGGAATTTTTTTACTTATAATTGAGTTTTTAGCTTATATGGGATTTTTCTACTTAATAAATTTTTTTAGTTAAAATTTATTTTATACTTATAAATGAAATTTTTAGTTATGTCATTTTTTTTTTAATGTATTTCAATTCAACTAATTTATTTCCTAATTCATGACATGGTGAATTAATAATCTGGTCGACACCCACCTATTAATTTTACCCAGTTGACTGAAGGAGGATAAACACCCCGGACTAATTTAATTCGAGTATTAATTGCACCAAACACAGGATAGGATTAAATTAATCCTTATCCGGCTTTTTAAGGCTTGCCAAACATACATAGTGTTTTAATGTCAAAGTAGTCCTGGAAACACTAATGTTTACTTTTTTGCATATTCTAAACACAACCCCTTCTATAATAAGCTTCACCACTTCACTGGGAACAATAAGCTAGTTATATATCACTGGTATATTAAATCTTGAGGCACTCTTTATGGCTCGAGTAATAACTTAGTAATCAGTTGGCCATTTTACTACCATTAAAACTATTAGTCGATTCTTCTCTATATCTAGGTGCTGTATTTGGGTATTAGTAGCTAATATTTGTGTCGGAGACGAGTTAAATCTTTATGGGTGGTGATTGGTGACATATGTGTCTGCTACTGCTAACTTGTCTAATCGTTGGTAGAATTTATTATTGATAAAACTTGTACTGTGTTGATTAGTCTAATTATTCGTCTCTTTTTATTTGACAGCCCTTCTTTCTGCCAGTTTCGCTGCATGTGCTTCTTGCGGTCCTTAGAGAATGGAAAAGATACAAGCAAGAAAGCAAAAAATATTATGCATGGAAAGCCGTGTCGGAGACGAGTTAAATCTTTATGGGTGGTGATTGGTGACATGGATGTCTGCTACTGCTAACTTGTCTAATTGTTAGTAGAATTTATTATTAAAACTTGTACTGTGTTGATTAGTCTAATTATTCGTCTCTTTTTATTTGACAACCCTTCTTTCTGCCAGTTTCGCTGC